CGTAACTAAAAGTAAATTATTGTTTACGTTTGTTATTATAACAAAATTTTACCAACATGTTTAAATGTTTATATTTTAGGTTGTGAGTGATACCGTAATTATATAAATTTATATACTTTGTTTTGTACCTTTTACACTTCAAAGAAGCCTCTGTTACACAGAGAATATATTTATGTATTTACTATAAGTAAGCAAAACTTCCACAGAGGTTTATAGAATTATAGCAATCTTTGAAAACAGTATAGCAAGAACATCGTTTTAAGATAAATATTTGCATAGTATCTCGGCAGCAGGTAGGGAAATAAACCGTTATCTTAGCTGTTTGGTCAGATATGTCTACAATGTTAGGTAAACCAAATATGGGCTTTTTATTAGAACTGATGATGTAGGCTGTTGGCAAGCGTAGGTGGAAGGTACGCAATCTTATTTTCATTAAAATATTTGACAGTCTAAAATAAAATGTTTCATTCATTATTTTAATGTGTAAGTGTTAAGTTGGTTGTCCAGTTTCAAATAATTGTCATTTAGAAATATGCAATTTAATAATTTATCATTTTTAAATTATTAAATTGAATATTTCTAATTGAAAACTGTGGTAATTATTCTTTATTAATTAATGTTTCTATAAAAGAATAATCTACCATTTTGAAAAATAAAAAATTTGGATTACTAAGTAAATCTAAACAGTGCCCTTAAAAATAATGTTTTTTAATTAGTATAGAATATCATATCGTGCAATTGCTAGGGTTTAGAACCGGAAAATCCCGGTACCAAAAGCACCGGAAATTCCCGGTTCTTTTGAGACATCAAAGAATCGGGACTCGAAATTATTAATTCCCGGTTCTTTTGGTACTTTTTCGGGACTCGGTAATAATAATTAAAAACATAATATATGTTTTGTTACGTGCGAAAAACTTTTGATACTTTCTAGCGGTTCAAATCAAACTCTTCTAGATAAGTAATGATGCTATCTCTTACTGTTCTTACTTCTGAAGTTATTTTGAAGTTTCTATAATGTTTATTATTAGCAATTATTGAAGTTTAAATATGTTATTTTATTATTTAGTATAATATTGCTGAATGTATTAGTTATATTTTTTGTGTTATGTTTTTATAGGCATTTGCATCTTTAATTGAAAATTTTAAGTGTGTTTTTTTTTCTAATTTTGTTAAGTTGGTTTCGAGGTTGGTTGATGTTGTCTGATGTAGTTTTGAAGCCTACCTATGTGTTTTCTTTTTTTTTTTTCGCTTGTGTTCATTATTTGTGTTCATATTTACTTACTCTTGCCTTAATAATTTGATATTATTTTCATCTGAAACTCAATTTATTATCGGTTTTACTTTTAAGAACCATCTTTTGCTTGCTAATTGACGAACTCGACAATCGTTGAAAAAACATATTTTAGTACGGTTCTGGAAACTCTAATTAATACTACCAACTAGTGTTCAGATCTTTTTGGCCATCACTGAACCGGGCCTAGGTAACAATAATTAAACATTATTTGTTTGTTACGTGAGCAAGTCCTTTGATACTTTCTAGTGGTCGAAATCAATCAGGGCAAAATAGATAGTAGTAGAGGCCAGGGACGTCGACGAACATCATGACTGAAAAATATTAGACAGTGGACGGGAATGACGACCGTATATTTATTCATGGCGGCTGTCAATAGGATTATATGGACCAACATGATTGCCAACATCCATAGAGGATAGGCACTGAAAGAAGTTCGAAATCAAACTGTTCTAAATAAAGTAATGATGCTATTTCTCTCTTATTGTTCTTGCTTCTTTTCTCTTTTGAAGTTCCTATAATATTTATTATGTTATGTTTTATAGGATATTTGCATTTTTAATTCAATATTTAAGGATTTTTGTCTCAGATTCAGTTAACTTGGTTTATGTTGTTTGATGTGAAATTTAAGCTACCTATTTCTTCTATACCTTTTTTCTTTCCATGTGTTCATGTTAAAAACCCATCCATTGAAAACCCATCTCTTGCTTTCTGATTGATGAACTGCACCACCATTGAATAAAAATTAGTGAGTACCGAAAGGACCAAAAAAAAACGGGAAATCCCGGTTCCTAAGAGGCGCGGTCCCCAAATTCCCGGTTCCGAAAAACAGCTCCGGTTTCGGAAACCCTAGCAATTGCCAAGTCAATATAATATTACAGGAATAAACATCTCTAATATTGATACTAACAATTTATAACAAAATTGTTGAATAGATGCTTAAAGAGAAACCAAATAAAATAAATTGACTTGGTTTTACACGAGATCTCACAACTTTTTATAGTGGAAGAATTGTGTTGCGATACTTGGCATTTTTTACATTTTATGTTTTTGATGGGATTTAATTTAGAATACAATTATTATGCTACTTCAATTTCATCTAAATAGTACCGGTACCAGCAAAATAAAACACTAATTCACCACAATACACCAAAACACTTTTACTTTTGCACTGGACATGCATTCATCATCTGCTGATGATGTTGTGTGCGGATGTGTGGATCATGTTGTGTTGGCAGAGAGATAACAGTGATTTCTCTCTCAGATTAAAATTTGATTGTAACAATAATACCTAGTTAAACATGAGTGAAAAGTGTTTTTTTGACTGGAAGTTTTCCTGCCAGAAGAAAAGTGAAAAACTTTCAGTTGCCGGTGCACAAGGCATAGAAATTATTATAAAGTATAGCAAAGTGTATCAAGATGGTAAATGTGAAAAATTGGAAGAGAACATCACTGCGGACAAGGATTTTCGTTTACTATGTCACAGAGGCTGCGTTTCGACGCGTACACATCCAAAACACATTTGAAAAGAACCTTATCCCCGGACAATGCCATTAACAAGCCTGGAAGTTTAAGTAAGAAAATACAGCGACGTTCATAAGTGCCAATCTTTATCCTCAAAGAAAACTGTTTGTTTTGTGGACTAAACTGTGAACTAGAAAAAGATGAAAAGCACCCACATCGATGGAAAGCCAATTCCGCGCTTTAGAAGACAACTCTAAAAAAATGGTAATTAAAGAAGCGATTTTGAAAACCTGTATAAAAAGGAATGATACCTGGGCTTCTGAAGTTAGTCTAAGATTAGCGCGGGCTATGTAGCAGACCTACATGCAGTAGACGCCAGATACCATCTGGATTGTCCAAACAGATTTATGGGCCAAAAAGCTGTTTTGTTAGCCAAACGACGATCAGGCCAAAATAACGACGAAGAAGATATTCCATATAATCAAACCGTGAAAGAACTACTGGCAAATAAAGAAAGAATTTGGAACTCAGTTGATATAAACATTTATTCTCAACATGGAGGACATATTCTTGCGAGATGCACTTTAATTAAAGCACTTAAAAATCAATTTAGTAATGTTAAGTTATTTTGTAAGTAATGTTATTTTTCAAATACTCTGTATAAAAAATGTGTTTGTTATTCTTTTACTAATACATTAGGTACATACATACTTACAAAGTATACAAAATGCAAAAATTTAATTTTTCGCTTTACCTTCAATTAACGTGAAAATATATTTTGTTTTTTTTAATCACCCTGTATATAAGATTCTTCGTTATCACTTATACCTATGAAAAAACCTACATTATTAAATTAATCAATGTCAAATACATTTTTTCACGTTAAAAACACACAAAATAACTCGGTAACTCAAAAAATACTCGATTTCACATAATTGATAATGAATCACCCTGTATCTTAATTTCCCCAAAGATCCCACTTTCTCATCACTCGGATATCAAAAGTAGGACACCTATAGATGACAAATCCGTTTTCAGAAAAACTTAATCCCAAACTTTTGGGTTTGGTTTAGTTTACTATCTCTGTTTAGAGAAAAAATTATAAGGTGGTAAAGTATTTGAAATTTAATTGTATAGTCGTATTGCCTAAATTTCTGTAGCATGTTATTTAAAATGTCGACGTAATTTGGATATTTATTTTTACCTCAAAAACTTTATTAATTGCAATTTATGCAGCCTTTTCATTTTCGATCAACATTCACAATATCTTGACTTTCCATTAATTGCCTTATTTGATGACCTACAAAAATTCCATCCTCTAGTTTTGCATCTGATAGAGCGGGAAAATTTTCACATATCAGGTATTTAAAACATGCTTCTTCTTTAGTTGAAGCTTTAACGTGTTGTTTTATTAATCCGTGTAGTTTATTAGGCAACGGTGGTAAGAGAATTTTGTGTGGATCAATTAGACTTTCGTGAATATTTTTTGATCCGGAAGCTAAATTAAAAAAACTGGCCTCTTTGGCCATTTATTTTTCACCCAATGTTGTTGTCTTTTCTACTATCTTACAGTGCCATACTCTATACAGAGCGTCGGCTACCTCTCGCATGTACCTGTGATGTGTGTCATCAGTATTTCACAAGTACACGAGTTACACGAGTACACGAGCATAGTTTTCTATTATGCCATTCACAAATAAAAACATCTTTCAATACTATCTTTCAACTACTTACAGTCAATACCCTGACTGTTAGGTCTAGTAGAAGTACCACAATTTTTAAGTCACCACAAATCATACAACTATAGTCCTTGTATTTGATTTTCTCTAGCAGTAGTTTCAAATTTTCGTATTAGCATTCTTTCGTTTGCATAGAATGAGCAAGAGGTAAGGAAGCATTTTCGTTCTACAAAAGAACAGCTCTCCTCCAGTTTATCTTTGATGAGTTAATAAAAACCTGCTGGTATGTAAATATAACACCTTAAAAATTATTTAAAAAATTGTGCGTGATGGAAACAAAAACATTGATTTTCAATTAGTTTAGTACCAAAAACTCCAAAATATGAAAAATACCAAATCATAAAATCGTTTTAATAAAGGTTTTTCAGATTGATGTGTTGAAAAATACACTGGAATAATATTTTTATTGTATAAACGTTGAAAAATAAAGTGGTGTATTAAATGTTCCAACCGTATCCGTTAACAACTAATAAAAAAATTAGGTATATTTAAATACTTTTACTCACCTCAAGAACTGTAGCCTCCAACAATGTACTAGATTCTGAAAATATAGAGAAAAGAAATATTAGACATATTGTTTTTTCGCAATTCTAAAAATTCAGCAGTTTTTGATACACCTGTATACATTTAAGGAAGCAATCAAATTTTTTGATAAAGTTTATTTCTCTGGCTTAAAAGTCAGCATAAGAATTAATTCCGAAAAATAATGTACTTTTGAGACGCACCCGGTATATGAAGTGGATTGATAATATGTTCAAAAAAATATAAATTCGCAAATAAAGCATTGTATTGCATAGATTAGGTCTTCATTACTTACAATACATAGGAAATTAGGAAAAATTCCATGATATCTTTTTAGAAATTAAATTATAATTTCAAACTTGAACATTCCCGGTTGAGTTGTGACGTACATAGCCTTCACCAATCACCTTTCACATAGTAGAAAAGGAAGTTTCATATCATATGTTGGTATGACTGATTGCCTGGCCCATGCGTATCGGGCGCAGCCATTTTGGATTTTGTTATTACTTTTCTTCGTCCTTTTCAGTTCAGTATTTTCGTTATAACTTTTAAAATACTTAGATTTTTTATCATAATGGCTCAAAACTTTGAAAAAGCTTTTTCGGATAATTTTCGAATGGTGACTGAGTATATGGTGGACAGTTTTTATATAGACAATTTAAAATACTTAAGTGCTGAAATAAAGAAGTTAAAATATGAAGGTGAGATTTTTTTTCTTTAAGATGTTATTTAAAAGTAATAAAACCATTATTTATAGAGCATAGAGTGAATCATAATGATAACAGTTCCATTGGATTCGTTCAATAAAAAGATGGCTTCTGTAAAATCAAACAAAAATACACCAAGTGAACATTATGTCACTGCAATGATAAAAGTGTACAGAAAGTGGAGGGAACTAAATTTTTAAGCTGTGCAACTATCACTGGTGATTTTTATATTATAACTAAATATATGTATGTTTTTATTTATCTCTTTATATTTTTATTTTAATTATTTGTAAACAATGCTATGATTTATGTAGAATGAAGGAAGATAACATCTTACTTTCTAGCAACTTTTATTGCCATTCTTGTCTTATAATAGTGTCTCATAATATTTATATTTTATATTCTTGTAGCGGGTTAATTGTAAATTGACTGCCCTGATATTCAGTAACTCTCATCACCATCAAAATGTAAATAATTACAATATTGTAATTAAAACACTTTATATTTACTTGCCTTTTAATTTCATAAATTTATATGTATTTATATGTATATATGTAATAGAACATGTATGTTCCTTCGAATCTTCCTGATATAATATATAGCTCTTAAAAATAATATTTTAGGCATATATAATAAACATTATTGATCACATATTAACACATTTAATAACAACACTTTAAAATAAAATATTTACTTGATTTTATGTAAAAAGGCACTCCATTAGAGCCTTATTTTATCTATACAATGTATTTTATTAATAGTCTTCTGAAATACCTTAACCATGAACGTATTTATTAACATTCTTGGTGCCAATAGAATTTTTCTAATTGCCTTGTTCATCTTCTCTGACTTTTATTGGTCAGATAGTAGACGTACTTTTCATGGTCAGATTGTAGCGTACCTGTTTTATACCATAACTGCGATTTTCCGGAAATACTATTAATCTTAGTTATCCGGAATTATATTTTTATCAAATTAATTTTTCAAATTAATTTTTCAAACATAATATAGACTCACTTTGAAATGCTTTGAAATCACATTCATAGCTGAAGAGAAGTTTTCTGAAAAAAAAACAGCATTTACTATTTTCTATCTTTTTCGGCGCGTACAAAAACATTTTATTACAGTTACTGGTAAATGTTATCCAACAATAGAAGAATTATTTTTTTAGCATTATTGAAAATATGTAGTTTAAATGCAAATTTAAGTTAAAATAAAAAATAAACAATTGGAAACAATGTCATTTTGACATTGAATAAATAGCAATGCTGCCAACATCACAAAATTCACCAGTTGAAATAATCAAGACGAAAACCAGCCAATCGTATTGGCGAGGGCTACATACGTCATCGCAGCGCGCGTAAGTGTGAAATTTAAACTTTTACCTAATTTTTTGGCCTAATATTAAGTTTTATATAAAAAAGGCTAAGTAGCAAGCACAAATTAGGTTGAAATCTGCATAATTACGCGGAAATTGAAAAACATGAAACATGCCTACCAATTAAGCCAGTGCCGTGAATTGTCGAAAAAAAAAATGAAAGAACTGTATTTTTCTTTTACTGGTACCTTAAGTCCGACGAAATTATCGCCGGTCGCTAGTGCCAGTTACGATCCTTGTTTTTATGAAACGTAAATTGTGCATGTGGTTCGTTCAAATGAACGAATCGTAGGAGTCGATTCAATATGAGAAATTCACTAAAAATAATCGTAATGTCACACAGATGTACCCTCGACAACCTATGGCTGGCCAAACGGGAAGCATTGGACGACGAAGCTCCTTACTGGGCTAACAGACATCCCGATACGAAAAAGTAAAGTAAGTTCACAGCTTCTAAAGCAATTCCTAAGTATAAATTCCTCTATTTATATTATTTTAAAATCATTCTGCAGGTGTCATTAGTACAGAAACCTTAATTAATTTTATTCAATTATCTATACGAATATGTATCAGATTATCAGATTTTGTCATTATTTGTTATAATTTGGGCAAAACTTAAACTTCAATTAAGTTTAAAACCTTTATTATGTATATAGCATAGGAAACTTCCCTATTATAATAATAAATTCACCCTTCTTATATATCCACCTATTAACGATTATTGATCGTTTCTGACCCTAATGTGTATTAGAAGAAAAAAAATAACGAAGCTTATTTTCTTCAACTTTGAGACAGCTCAATCTCGATGGGGAAACGGTTCCTATGGAGACGTATTATTTTCGTTAAGCTCGGAAGCTCTTGTATTACAAAATAATAAAACTCCTTGGCTTTTTAATAATCAGTCACTTTATGAAAAACGTATTGATAAGTGGAAAGTAGGAGAATAAAAATGATGTGTCGGACGTTATTTGATATCCTGTTATATTTTGAATGGTTTGTTATTATGGAAAATGGTATTAAAAAATGATCTCAGGAACTACTATGTTCCTGATGGATTCCTACAGGATATCCCCGGACTGTCTTTACAAGAGGAAAAACTTTTTTATTATTGACATTTTGAGAAAAATCTTCATAAAAAAATTGCTTGTTCTATAATGGTTAATCCCTACAGCTTTTTTTAAATTGCAATTTGGGACACCACCCCATCGAAGATATCGAGAAGGTGAAAACTGTTTATTAAAGAACCTTTTTGCGTCGTAGATTACAGTGGCGTAGTCTGTTATTATACGATAATAATATTTTTGACGTTTTTTTTTGTTTGACGATACATTAAGACATGAACTAAAGTTATGTTTTCTTAAATGGAACACCCTGTATGTTTATGAATTATATGATCTGGCTTGCCAAACGCTTCTCAAAACTATATATCACTCTATATTTATTTTAACTATTTACTGCAATACTTAAAAGATTTTATTAGAAAAATATTTTTATTAGTAGGGCATGATTGATAATAAAATAAACTAAAGAATTATTAAAAGTATACTGCTAAACTCCGCTATACCAGTCCCAAGCCTGGGGCCCCATCAACGAAAAGATGGTGAAGGAGGAGGGGGAGGAGTAACAACCTCGTAAAAAACCAGGGTTCATCTGGCCCGGATGATAGCACCCTGTAAGGGTCCCTGACTAGGGTACAGGTCAAAAGGTCAACGGCGGAAGGAATAAACTAGAAGGCGGAAGAACCTCGAGGGTAAGATTGGTCTCCGAAGTCCGGAAAAACAACCATTCTAAAGGAAGAAAACCTTAATTAAAAATTACCTGGCCCTCCAGGTTGGGGGTTTAGGCGTCAGGTTGGTTCCCTGTCACTTAGAAAAACACATACTTACCAAAAAGCCTAACATTTGCCTCCGAAACTCGGACGGAACTATTGGAAGACAACGTAAGCTACGGAAACGGACAATGAATATTGGCACTTGGAATGTACAAAGTATCAGCGGAAAGATTGAGGAAATCACTAAAGAGTTAGAAGTATTAAAAATGGATATTGTAGCTTTAACTGAAACAAAAAGAAAAGGCAATGGCACAGAACTAAGTAACAATTATGTGCATATTTTTAGTGGTGTTGCAAAACATGAAAGAGCAAAAAGAGGTGTGTCCATTTTGATTAAAAAAAACACCAAAATAATATCATAGACTTTGAGAGCATAGATGAAAATATAATTAGAGTTAATATGAATATAAATCAAAAATCAGTCACCATTTTTGGAGTCTATGCAATTTCTGATGACGAGCCGTATCATAAGAAGGACGATTTCTTTGGAAAACTCAATGAAGAAATAACAAAAATAGGAAATGGAAGAGAACTTATAATCCTTGGCGATTTTAACGGTAGAGTTGGACGCAGGACAAACAATAAAGTAGTAGGCCCACATGGAGAAATAAATCAAAACGATAATGGCGAAAGAATAATAGAAATATGTGAAAGTCACCTATTAAAACTCATAAATGGCTTTTAGAATCACAAGGATATACATAAATACACTTGGACACAACCAACCAGGAATCTAAAATCAATAATAGACTACGTCATAGTAAGACAACAAACGACACTTCAGATAAATGATGTACGACCATATAGAGGCATTACATGTGGATCAGATCATTACTTAGTCAAAGCTAAAATTAAATTCCCATTCAGACGCGACAAAAGAGGGGAAACCAATCGAAATTATGAGCATACCGAACGTACTGAATCTAAGCGATATAATCTGGATAGCCTAACAACCGAGAGTACCAGACAACTTTACCATAAAAGATTGGATGAAAAACGTATAACTCAGAAGTAAGTATAACTCAATAAGACCAATAGCGTTGAAGAAGTATACGCAATATTCTAAGTTCAAGTAAGAACAATAGCGTTGAAGAAGTATACGCAAATATTCTAAGCAATCTTCACAGTGCAGCGGAAGAAGCTCTTGGATCAAGAGCTCAGGTTCAAAGTAACAACATATGGTGGAATGAAGAAATAGATTGCTTAATTAAGGAAAAGAAAAACGCGTACAAAAAATGGCTAAGTAGTAAACAACAACAAGATGGAGTCGCATATCTAGATTATATCTACATATATAGAACAACAAGACAAAAAATAAGAACTGCAAAACGAGAAATATGGGATAAGAAATGTCAAGAAATAAATACCTATTTGGGAGGAAGGAAGTGTGCCGAGTCATGGAAGTTCATAAACCAAGTCAAAACCTCAGAAAAACAGACGGCCCAGCTACAATTAATACCAATGAATAAATGGAAGGAACACTACGAAGAACTCTTAACGGAAAATAGGCAGGAATACGCCACAATATCACCCACAGAGATAAATATTTCCGGAGAAGTTATTAACATCGACATACCGCAAACGAAAAAGGCAGTGGCAGCACTGAAAAGTAACAGAGGCCCGGGACCGGAGAATATTCCAGGTGAATTGTTAAAATGTGGAACAGAAAACCTATTTAAAGCCTAAACCTGGTGTATAAATAGATTCTTAAACGGCGCCCCAATACCAAAAGAGTGGAAAATCGCCTATATACCCTCAATCCATAAAAGGGAAATAAACAAGTGTGCTCCAACTATAGAGGTATATCAGTAACAAGTACCTTAAGTCGATTATACGGACGGATCCTTAGAGATTTAATAGAACAGGAATACCAACAACAAGAAGAGGAGGAATGCTCGGAACACGAATCTGGTTTTCGGACTGGGAGAACCTGTACCGATAATATTTTCTGTCTAAAACAACTAATAGAGAAAAAAAGTAGTATTGATCAGGAGACACAGCTCATGTTTATTGACCTTCACAAAGCATATGATACCGTTCCAGTTAACAGACTATTCAAGATACTACAGGACACCAACATTAACTACACCTTAATTAGAGCTCTGAAAAACTTGTACGAAGAATCGACATCACCAATTAAAATAGGCAACACATTATCTGGAAGATATTTTGTCAATAAAGGTCTACGACAAGGATGCTGTGTTTCTCCCTCCACTTATTTAAAATATATGTAGCAAAGGCCTTGAGACAATGGAAGAGAAAATGTAATCGAATGGGCATTAATCTGGAAGATACCTGTCTATATAACCTGCAGTTCGCAGATGATCAAGTTCTTATGGCCAACGATAAAGATGATTTGGAGTACATGACAAGAAAACTACAAGAGGAATATCAACGATGGGGTTTGGAAATAAATACAGGAAAAACTAAATATCTACCTATTGGTGCAGAACTATCTAGCGTGCATCTAGAAAATGAAGAGATAGAAGCCGGCAATGACTACACTAGGAGTGATATCTGATACAACAGCTAAAGATGACAAAGAAATTAAAAAACAAATATCACAAGCTAGAAGAACAATTGGCTGTCTGAATGGAGTATTTTGGGGAAATTAAATAGGGAAGAAACGGAAGATCAATATATACGAGACCCTGGTAAAGAGCAGTCTACTTTATGGTGCAGAGACTTGGCGAATAACGGAAGCTAACCGAAAAAAACTGGAGGTGGTAGAAATGGATGCCTATAGAAGAACCTTAGGAATTTCCCGAAGAGATAGGGTCGGAAACGAAGAAATCCAACAGAGGATAGGAATAGAGGGATCTTTGGCAACCGACATCGAACGCCAACAACTTATGTGGTACAGACATATCCAGAGGATGGATGACACACGACTTCCAAAACAAATTATGCAATGGATACCCCAACATCGAAGAAAACGTGGAAGACCTAAGAAGACTTGGAAGGAGGGTGTCACAAGAGCAATGAGTGCCAGAAATCTAAGCGAGGGACAATGGAACGATCGGAAGACGTGGAAGTTAGGCATTGGACAACGTCGCAAGACGTTCTAAACCGATATATATATATATATATATATATATATATATATATATATATATATATATATATATATATATATATATATATATATATATATATATATATATATATATATATATATATATATATATATATATTTTTTTTTTTTTTTTTTTTAAAGCGGGGATTAGGAATCTGCTTATCAGACGAATGGGCTGCTTGCGCGCTCTTGTGTGCCCAGACAGTGTCGGATTGGTACTACCGACCGACTAAACCCTTCCCCCTCTGTTCCACAGCAAATCGATTCGGAAACCGCTTTCGCATTACTTCGAAAACGATATGCTGGATGTTTCTCTCAGCTCTTGGCAGAGCGTTCTAGGTTCTCATTCTACTTGTAGTTTCTATGTCTGTTCCTTTTTCCTCTCTCATACATGTGATCTATGATCACTTTCTTTTGTCACCATAATTGTTCTAATTGCCATATATGCGTGGTTCCATCCTTCTTTGGACTCTACTAGGCTCCTCATCATGTTTTCTGCTGTAAATAACATGCCTGTTTTTTGAAGATAGGTTTCTCTTGCTATGGACCAGTTTGGGCATTCGAACATTGTATGCTTTACATCATCTTCTTTCTGGCAATAGCGGCAGTTGCTAGTGGTGGATTTTTTTCATATATATATATATATATATATATATATATATATATATATATATATATATATATATATATATATATATATATATATATATATATATATATATATATATCGGTTTAGAACGTCTTGCGACGTTGTCCAATGCCTAACTTCCACGTCCTCCGATCGTTCCATTGTCCCTCGCTTAGATTTCTGGCACTCATTGCTCTTGTGACACCCTCCTTCCAAGTCTTCTTAGGTCTTCCACGTTTTCTTCGATGTTGGGGTATCCATTGCATAATTTGTTTTGGAAGTCGTGTGTCATCCATCCTCTGGATATGTCTGTACCACATAAGTTGTTGGCGTTCGATGTCGGTTGCCAAAGATCCCTCTATTCCTATCCTCTGTTGGATATATATATATATATATAATGACAGCGACCTTCATTTCATAGCCATCGTTGACGCCGTTTTTTCTCGATCATACGGTATATATATATATATATATATATTTTTTTTTTTTTTTTTTTTTAAAGCGGGGATTAGGAATCTGCTATCAGACGAATGTGCTGCTTGCGCGCTCTTGTGTGCCCAGACAGTGTCTGATTGGTACTACCGACCGACTAAACCCTTCACCCTCTGTTCCACAGCAAATCGATTCGGATACCGCTTTCGCATTACTTCGAAAACGATGTGCTGGATGTTTCTCTCAGCTCTTGGCAGAGCGTTCTAGGTTCACATTCTACTTGTAGTTTCTATGTCTGTTCCTTTTTCCTCTCTCATACATGTGATCTATGATCACTTTCTTTTGTCGCCATAATTGTTCTAATTGCCATATATGCGTGGTTCCATCCTTCTTTGGACTCTATTAGGCTCCTCATCATGTTTTCTGCTGTAAATTACATGCCTGTTTTTTGAAGATAGGTTTCTCTTGCTATGGACCAGTTTGGGTATTCGAACATTGTATGCTTTACATCATCTTCTTTCTGGCAATAGTGGCAGTTGCTAGTAGTGGATTTTTTTCGTTCATAAAGATATTTGTTAAAACAACCATGCCCAGACAGCGCTTGAGTCAGCAAGTAGTCCGCGTCGCCGTAGGGTCTTTCTATCCATGCTGCTATGTTTGGGATGAGATGATATGTCCAGCGTCCATATTTACCGTTTTCCCATTCTTCTTGCATTTCCTCATTAGTTTTGTATTAGCAATAGTTTTTGGGGTGCTCAAATACCGTTCGCGCCGCTCTTCTATTAACAGCTTGATTGGAGGTATTCCCGCAATAACACCAACTCCTTGGGTCGAGATTGTTCTATACCCGCTACATATTCTTATCGACAGGACTCTTTGAAGACTACTTAGTTTGGTCATGAGAATTTTATTTTTGGTCGCTTCATGCCAGGCTGGTGCCCCATACAATATTTGTGAGTGTACTACGCTAGATAGAATTCTTCTTTTTGATGTCCGAGGACCTCCTACGTTAGGCATTAGTCTTGAAAGGGCTGTGACTGTTCTCCCTGCCTTTTCAATGGTTTTTGAGATATGCACAGCAAACGACAGTTTTTGGTCCAAGTATACTCCAAGGTACTTTATAGAGTTCTTTGGTCTAACCATAGCATCTTGGACATTGAAGACGACTGTGTTTATTTTTCTCTTCTTAGTTAAAAGTACTGCTTCTGTTTTCTCTGGGGCCAAGGATAATTTTTCCCATTCATCCAATGTGATATTCTTAACAGGGCCGTATTAGTTAGTGTCATTAGTAAAGCTTCCGTTTTTGTAGTAACTACTAAAACTATATCATCCGCGAATCCTATTAGCGTAATATAATATATATATATATATATATATATATATATATATATATATATATATATATATATATATATATATATATATATATATATATATATATATATATATATATATATATATATATATATATATATATAAGTATATACTGCTATCTGTCTTTTGTTTTATTTTGGGAGTCACTAATTATTTCTTTATGTTAACTCTCTACAACTATTTGGAAATTTTAGATATTCCTTTATCTAATTTACGTGAAATATACTTTCAGTAAGATAGGATGATAGTAGATCAGTATGAAATGTATCGTGGCAACTACAACAGTGTCGAAGACCTGATACCATTTTTCAAAATGCTATGAGGCAAGATTTAAGATATTTGCAAACCCATCCCGTTATAATAAATCCCGTTATAAAAAAGAAACTAACTAAAATTTTAATATGTGTATGATTATTATAGTAGATACCATTTTGATTTGTTTATTATCTATCAGTGCCTAATAAGAAAATAATATCTTTTAAATATTGCAGTAAATATAAGGTGACTAACTATTCTTTGTTCAAAAAGAGTACACTTTGCAAGTATTTCATAGGTGATAAAAAAGAAGAAAAAAAACGATATAAACTTTATTTTCTTTTAAAAACATATTTTTCTTCGGAGTGTTTTTTTTGCTAATGAGGATGTTCGTCTAATAATGTAGCCACATCCGAACAACTTTCATTTTGCATATTAAATTTGACTGTGAAGGCGGCAGATAATATTTTTACAGAAAGTTGCGACTTCTACTGTTCCAATAATCATTCCCCAGTGAAAATACCCTTTCAACAGCAACACTAGTGCCTGGACAATATAAGGAAATTTCTATTAAAACTTTTAAATTTTCATGTGGGATATGTTCTACTCTAAAATGCCGAAAGATTTCTACAGAATTGACAAAAGAATCTACTATATTCATTTGTCAAGTTCTATTTTCTCATCCATTTCTTCAATTTTTCTTCATTTAAATATAAATTTAATTAAGAAAATATTGCAATAACTAATAAATATTGCAGTAAATAGTAAAAATAAATATAGAGTGTTATATATTTTTGAGAAGCTCATAGTAAGGCGGATCATATGATTTATAATTATTATACAGAGTGTTTCATTTGAAAAACACAACTTTAGTTCATATTTTCAAAAAAAATTCGAAGAAAAATAGTCTACGCCAGTGCA